CTGTGAAATAATACTTTATCCACTTAATGAAATTGATAATAAGAGATTTCAAAAGACAATACAAAAAATTATACCATATTACTTCAAAGACAAAGAAACTTTTAGAGTCTGTTATAAAAGCAGATTGATTGTCCAGTATAACTTTGTCCTCAATAGAAAGAAAACCAAATTCTAGTTTTATATCAGCTTACTTTTGATGTTAAAAATTATTCAATTAAATTAATTCTAATCTTAACCACTCTTAATCACACACAAATCTCTTTTCTCAGGGTTCCTTTTCCAAAACCTTCTATAGCTTTCCTTTTATATGCAGCTTTTGTCCTATGCTTGATCTCCCTGCCTCTCTCTTCCTCTCCATCTATCTATCTCCATCTCTCTCCATCTTAACCTCTTTAGGATAAAATTACTTTCCGCCCCTTAACAAAATGTATTTCCATTCCTTATGCTTAAAAAAAAATTTACTTGTGCACAAAATTATTTACTTGTTAATTTTAATAGAATGTGAAGTCAAGCGGGCCTTAGAAAGCATCACTATGAACAAAGCTAGTGGAGGTGATGGAATTCCAGTTGAGCTATTTCAAATCTTGAAAGATGATGCTGTGAAAGTGCCACACTCAATATGCCAGCAAATTTGGAAAACTCAGCAGTGGCCACAGGACTGAAAAAGTCAGTTTTCATTCCAATCCCTAAGAAAGGCAATGCCAAAGAATGCTCAAACTACCTCACAATTGCACTCATCTCACTCGCTAGTAAAGTAATGCTTAAAACTCTCCAAGCCAGGCTTCAGCAATACGTGAACTGTGAACTTCCAGATGTTGAAGCTGGTTTTAGAAAAGGCAGAGGAACCAGGGATCAAATTGCCAACATCCTCTGGATCATCAAAAAAACAAGAGAGTTCCAGAAAAACATATATTTCTGCTTTATTGACTATGCCAAAGCCTTTGACTGTGTGGATCACAATAAACTGTGGAAAATTCTTAAAGAGATGGGAATACCAGACCACCTGACCTACCTCTTGAGAAATCTGTATGCAGGTCAGGAAGCAACAGTTAGAATTGGACATGGAACAGCGACTGGTTCCAAATAGGAAAAGGAGTATGTCAAGGCTGTATATTGTCACCCTGCATATATAACTTGTATGCAGAGCATATCATGTGAAACTCCAGGATGGATGAAGCAGAAGCTGGAATCAAGATTTCCAGGAGAAATATCAATAACCACTGATATACAGATGACACCACCCTCATGGCAGAAAGTGAAGATGAACTAAAGAGCTTCAGGATGAAAGTGAAAAAGGAGAGTGAAAAAGTTGGCTTAAAACTCAACATTCAGAAAACTAAGATCATGGCATCTGGTCCCATCACTTCATGGCAAATAGATGGGGAAACAGTGACAGATTTCATTTTTTGAGGCTCCAAAATCACTGCAGATGTTGACTGAAGCCCTGAAATTAAAAGATACTTGTTCCTTGAAAGAAAAGCTATGACCAATCTAGATAGCATATTAAATAAAGCAGAGACATTACTTTACCAACAAGGGCCCATCTAGTCAAAGCATGGCTTTTCCAGTAGTCATGTATGGATGTGATAGTTGGACTATAAAGAAAGCAGAGTGTTGAAGAATTAATGCTTTTGAACTGTGATGTTGGAGAAGACTCTTGAGAGTCCCTTGAACTGCAAGAAGATCCATCCAGTCAATCCTAAAGGAAATAAGTCCTGAATATTCATTGGAAGGACTGATGCAGAAGCTGAAATTACTACTTTGACCACCTGATGTGAAGAACTGAGTCTTTGTAAAAGACCCTGATGCTGGGAAAGGTTAAAGTTGGGAGGAAAAGGGGTTGACAGAGGATGAGATGCTTGGATGGCATTACCAATGCAATGGACATGAGTTTGGGTAAACTCCAGGAGTTGGTGATGGGAAGGGAGGCCTGGCGTGCTGCAGTCCATGGGGTCACAAAGCTTTGGACATGACTGAGTGACTGAACTGAATTGAATCTCATGCAATTGTGGACTGTGCTTATATTTCTGATTTTGAAGAGATTTTCAAGATAATTACAGTCACTTCCCTTATCACGATCAGTGGCCTTCAGCTTCCATCTCACACTGTGTGTGCTCAAACAAGCCTACTTACAAGCCCTAGGACATTCAGCTAACATTGTTGGAAGGGTGGATTTGTATGTCTTGTCTTACAATATTGGGCAGGGGAAATATTCCCCAATGAGACACAGTGTTCATCTCACACCACAATTAGGAAAAAGAGATATGACCACTTTACATAAAGCCCATTCAAATACATCGATTGCCCTACAAATGTTCAGCTCAATTTCATCAACACTTATACCTCTAACCACAGCCTCCACAAAACCCAGTCTGTAAGTCTGAGTCTTACAGTACTGGGTAGGGTAAATTTTCCCAGCCAGTCAAAACAGACAGTCCCATAAAACACTCAGGTAACATCAACACAGCCTTTTCGTATAACATCTACTCCAACTTTCCAACTTTTATAATCCTATCATCCCTTGTGCTTTTACATTTTCTCAATCTAGTTGTAGCCTAAGTCTGGGTTCCACCAGTGGATTGTGGTACCGCAGCATGTGGGGTTCCTGAGTCAGAGTCCCAGAAACTTCTTTTCATTCCCTTCATATTTTACCCATTCCTGTGTAAGAGGCTTTGGTTCTCCAGTGAGGCGTCAAGCATAAAGCAAGCTGAGCACTGAAGAATTGATGCTTTTGAACTGTGGTGTTGGAGAAGACTCTTGAGAGTCCCTTGGACTGCAAGGAGATCCAACCAGTCCATCCTAAAGGAGATCAGTCCTGGGGGTTCATTGGAAGGACTGATGTTGAGGCTGAAACTCCAATACTTTGGCCACCTGATGCAAAGAGCTGACTCATTTGAAAAGACCCTGATGCTGGGAAAGATTGAGGGCAGGAGAAGGGGACAACAGAGGATGAGATGGCTGGATGGCATCACCGACTCAATGGACACAAGTCTGAGTAAACTCCAGGAGTTGGTGATGGACAGGGAAGCCTGGCATACTGCAGTCCATGAGGTCACAAAGAGTTGGACACGACTGAGGGACTGAACTGTACTGAACTGAATATCTGTTTTATTAATCTCATTTCTTAATAACCATCTAAATATTTCCACCCTGCTATGATGGGTGCAGTGATTCTTCACGGTTATGGGGACATACAAATGAAAGGGAAGAATAGTCACTGGAGCAGAAAGGGCATGGGGGAGATAATCCCTGATTTCCTTCCCAGCCCCACCTTCCAGATGGGAGGGGGGATTTTTGCCCTTATTTAGCTTTGATCAGAAGTGTCATGGCTTTGGTGCATGATGGAAACTTATTTACAATGCTAATTTTATTGTAATGAGAGTATAATGAGCAACAGATTACATTCAGATGCAGGAGATTCCAGCCTTTCCCATTGTTTTCATCCAGTTATCACCCAAAATATGTGGTTTCCTATCAGTCCTGAGATTCCAATTTTTCTTTGTCTGCCTGTGGACCCCTGCTTTTTACAAGCTGGGTGGTTTCCTGCAACCTGGCCCCTGCCCCTAATTCTCTGCTCATACCTAGCTATCTGTCTGCTGGAACAACTTCATGTTCACCTAACCTGTTTCATGACTAACTTATACTCTCATGGATGCCTTCCTGAGTTGGTGAGTGGCCTAATGACTCAAATGCTCATCTTGTATCCACCAACTGTGTGACTGTGTTTCTAAGATGTCCTTTAACAATCACCTTTACCTCATCATGGGCATAACAACCCACAGCAGAGTGTCCAAACAGACAACAGTCTGGTGAGACCCACAAACTCATCAGTCTTTGGGGCTAGCCTGAACAACAGGCTTACATGGTTGTATATCTGCATGCTACTGGAAAGAATTTCCTTTTTATGAACAAATGACACATAGACAGAGACTAAGAAAAACAGTTACCATGTCTGGAAAGAGAAGGATAAGTAAAGACAAGAGTGATAAGAACAGAATCAAGGGACAAAGTAGGTGATTAAACAGTTAATCCCACTAGGGGATTGTAAGTACAGAAAGTATGGGAGTCCCCTGTAAGTTAATGATCACTCAAGAAAGCAAGTTTGCTTAACCACAAAGCCAAGCAGCCTTGCTTAGCAGCAAAACCATGTAACAGAAGCCCCGAAACCATAAAACAATGATGGCATGAGACCCACATCCTATCCAGTGAGGTCAGTAAATTAATGGTTCCAGGACATGCTCTTTGCACACATGAAAAGCACTAATTTGTGGACCTAACTTGACCATGCAGGGACTAGAAAACTGCCCAGCCTAGAGGAGGGGCTGCTGCTGGAAGTGTGATGTCTACTCAAGAAAGACAAAGAAGGTCTTCTCCCCCTCCCCACTTTTTCTTTGATTATAAAACTGCAGCCCTGTAAGTTTTGGGGGTGTAGCATCTTCCCACCCATCTGCTTGTAAGCTTCACAGTCTTCCTATTCTAATAAATCACTTCTCATTTATCACTTTGCCTCTCACTGAATTCTTTCTGGGCTTCCCAGGTGGCTCAGATAGTAAAGTGTCTGCCTGCAATGTGGGAGATCCGGTTTCGATCCCTGGGTTGGGAAGATCCCCTGGAGAAGGAAATGGCAACCCACTCCAGTATTCTTGCCTGAAAAATTCCATGGACAGAGGAGCCTGGTAGGCTACAGCCCACGAAGTCGCAGAGAGTCGGACACGACTAAGTGACTTCACTTCACTTCGAATTCTTTCTGCACTGAGACATAAAGGGCCAAGGCTCTTCAGAGCCCCCCAGAATGATACCCAACAATTTCAAGAGTATATTTACCAAACTCATCAAGAGTCTCTCGAGCTCAAAGAACTAGCTGCACAAATATTTTCTCCAGCTAATCTAATTTTAGAGATTATAGAAAGGACTCTCACCCTCTCATTTCCAACAGACTACGCAGGCAGAGCTCCAGAAGACTAGTTGGCACGATAAGAATTCTTTTTTTTAATTCTTACCTTCTGTCAGCTTTGTCCGCTGTCCCAGGAGGTCTGAGCGGCCGCAGCCCTGGGGCAGGTCAAGTCCAGCAGACAAAGTCAGCGCCTGCTGGGTGCGCCAGCTGTCAGGGAGGAAGGGATTTCCCTCTCCCCGTTCTTCTGGCTGGTCTAAAGATTAAAGTGACATGAGACAGATTAACAAGATAAAATCAAGAAAATTTTAATAACATGAGAGAGACACAGGAAAACTGAGTAACTCAGCAAAATGACTGAAATCCTCACCTTAAACACTGTCTTCAACTAAACACAAAAGAAGATGCCGTGGGTAGTGTTTTGGGACTTCAGAGGGGAATAAGGCAATTCATGGAGATGGAAAAGCAAATGCTTGGTAAAAAAATGTTTGCTGGGCCAGGCGGAGATAATGGGACACAAGGTGGACTCTAATATCCAGACTCCGTTCCCCCTCCACACCTGGCCATATTCTTTGTGCATGTCAAGGAGATCGCTATACGCTAGGAACAGACCCTTTATCTGATATCCTCTGTGCAGTTAAGGGAGAAGTAACAAGAAAACCTTCTGACTCTTCTACTTCTTAAAAATAATCAGCCTAAATTAATCCTCATGCAAAAAAGACACATTGTGAGGTGAAAAATTTTGTCCCTTTAAAGCATTTTTATGTAATTTGTACATGTTTTCTTGTATATGCATAAAATATTCTGTAGAAATACACCAAAAATGATACTATGTACTGCCTAGGGGAACATCTAGGGTCTTGGAAACAGAAGTAAGTAGGTGTTTTTCTCTCTGTTTGTTCTTGTATTTTTGAATTTTGAATAAAAAAAACTATATTATTTATTCAAATTGTTTGAAATGCCAAACCAGAGAGCTTATTTAAACCAAAACTATAATGAGAAAATAGAAACAATTACTAAGAAAAATTAGTTATTCATGCAAAAAAACCCCTCAATTATTTAGACAGTGGTCTATTATGGGAAAATTAAAACCCTTAAAAAGCAATTTCTTTATTTGGCTGCATTGGCCATAGTCACAGCACACAGGACCCTTTATTGTGGCACACGAGCTCTCTGGTTGTGGCACCTGGGCTCCACACATTGAGCCCGGGTTGTTGCGCTTGTGCTTCAATAGTTGCCACTCCTGGGTTGGCTTAGTTTGCCAACCCAGGCCTTGTGGCGTGTGAGAGCTTAGTTCCAGGAATCAAACCTCCGTCCCCTGCACCGCAAGGTAAATTCTAAACTACTGAAAAACCAGAGAAGTCTCGGAAAATTAAAATTTTTAGCATACTTCTGTGGAAATTTTAATAAAAATATCTGTCCCTTTGTGTTTATAGGTTTTATTTTCCCCTAGTTCTACAGCAGAAATACTCTTCATATTTTCAGGTAGTAAACATTTTTGCAATTGCTCATACATGTTGGCTCTATTACAGTATCTTTAACTTATTATACTTCAGTAAATATTTACATTTAACTAGTGAAAGCTGACAAGACTGCCCATGTGTAAGAATCTTTTCATTAAATATTTACTTTCCTTCTGTGCTGGATGATTATAATTGACATGATCTTTTAAGGTGTTTATAAAGAAGTAATAAGAGTGCAGTGTTAGAATTCACTCACTCAAGAATGCAGTGTTGGAATTCACTCAGAATTCATCCCTCCATGTTTTCTCCAATATGCAGTGTATACTTATAAGTGATTGTCTAAAGATGATTTCAGAAAGATATTACTTAAATCTTTAAGGGATAAGTTACTTTCCATTTTTATTTAAAAATATATATATATTTTATTAAAGTATAATTAACTAATATTTCAGGTGCACAGCAAGGTGACTCAGGGATACAACTATATTATTTTTAAAAGTATTTTCCATCATAGGTTATTACAAGATATTGACTATAGTTCCCTATGCTATACAGTAAATCTCTGTTGATTGTTAGATATCTATTTTTTAATTAGAAATCTAGCCTTGCATTCAAAATAAATCAACTGGAATCAAAATGTCATAATATTTTTAGTCAGGTAAAAATTTATGTTTTATAATATATATATATACATACACACACATATCATACATATATAGATGTATACAAAAAAGAAAAAAGAAAACTGACCTTTTCAGGAAAAGGTCAGTTTTCATTCCAATCCCAAAGAAAGGCGATGCCAAAAATGTTCAATATACTGCACAATTCCACTCATCTCACACACTAGCAAAGTAATGCTCAAAATTATCCAGGCCAGGCTTCAACAGTACACGAACCATGAAATTCCAGATGTTCAAGCTGGATTTGGAAAAGTCAAAGGAACCAGAGATTTAAGTTGCCAGCATCTGTTGGATCATCAAAAAAGCAAGAGAGTTCCAGAAAAACATCTATTTCCTGCTTCATCGATTACGCTAAAACCTTTGACTGTGTGTATCACAACAAACTGTGGAAAACTCTTTAAGAGATGGAAATACCAGACCATCTTACCTGCCTCTTGAGAAATCTATATGCAGGTCAAGAAGCAACAGTTAGAACTGGACATGGAACAATGGACTGGTGCCAAATTGAGAAAGGAGTACATCAAGGCTGTATATTGTCACCTTGCTTATTTAACGTATATGCAGAGTACATCATGCAAAATGCCAAGTTGCATGAAGCACAAGCTGGAATCAAGATTGATGGAAGAAATATCAATAACCTCAGATATGCGGACGACACCACTCTTCTGGAAGAAAGCGAAGAACTAAAGAGCCTCTTGATGAAAGTGAAAGAGGAGAGTGAAAAAGCTGGCTTAAAACTCAACATTCAAAAAACTATCATCATGGCATCCAGTCCCATCATTTCATGGCAAATAGATGGGGAAACAACGGAAACAGTAAGAGACTTTATCTTTTAGGGCTATAAAAGCACTGCAGATGGTGACTGCAGCCATGAAATTAAAAGAAGTTTGTTCCTTGGAAGAAAAACTATGACCAACCTAGACAGCATATTAAAAAGCAGAGACATACTTTGCCAACAGAGGTCCATCTAGTCAAAGCTATGATTTTTCCAGTAGTCATGTATGGATGTGAGAGTTGGACTATAAAGAAAGCAGAGCACCGAAGAATTGATGCTTTTGACCTGTGGTAATGGAGAAGACTCTTGACAGACCCTTGAACTTCAAGAAGATCCAATTGGCCCATCCTAAAGGAAATCAGTCCTGGATATTCATTGGAAGGACTGATTAATAGCAAACTACTTCAGTATTCTTGCCTTGAGAACCCCATGAACAGTATGAAAAGGCAAAAAGATGTGACACTGAAAGATGAACTCCCCAGGGAGGTAGGTGCCCAATATGCTGATTGAAGACAGGAGGAGAAGGGGATGACAGAGGATGAGATGGTTTGATGGCGACACTGACTCGATGGACATGAGTTTGAGCAAGTTCTGGGAGTTGGTGATGGACAGGAAAGCCTGATATGCTGCAGTTCATGGGGTCACAAAGAGTCGGACACAACTGAATGACTGAACTGAACTGACTGGTATGTATACAAAAGCTTTTCTACTATACTTGTTAAAGTCTTTAGAAAGAACATCCCAAAAAAAAAAAAAAGGAAGAGAAGGAGAAATTGGAGAACATAAACTGAATGAAATAGGAGCACTGAATATGAAATAGAAAAAGTGAAACAAACTAGATAAAAGCTGTTTTTAAACATGACTGCTCATTAGAAACATACCTGGAGCCTTGGAGAAAAAAGAACAATACCTGAGAGTTGGTATTTTTCAAAATATTTCAAGATAATTCTGATATACATCTGGATTTTAAAAAGTGATTACAGGTTTTACTATTAGATCCTGTTTTGGTGATATAAAGTTCTATAATTTTCTGTTGTCCAATCATAATACAGTGGTATTAAGTGAGTAATAGTTACATAATCACAATAGTAAAATATGTTTAGCATTTTTCACAGTCAATAGCCAGACAAAAAATAAAAGATAATTATAATTACAAGCCATAATGGGAACATGAGTAACTTAACAATATAAAATAATGACATATAATTTGAGGAGGGGTCAAGCAGATTGATGTGGTAAGTGGAAGTGCATACATGCACATGTTTTCTTCCAGCCAGCCAGTCTATGTCTTTTAGTTGGTACATTTAATCCATTTACATTTCAGGTAATGTATGATCCTATTACAGTTTTCTTGATGTTCTGGGTTTATTTTCTGTAGATCTTTTCCTTCCTTTGTGTTTCCTGCATAGAGGAGTTCCTCTAGAATTTGTTGTAAAGCTGGTTTGGTGATGTTGAATTCTCTTAACTTTTGCTGTCTGGAAAGCTTTTGATTTCTCCATCAAATGTGAAAGAGAGTCTTGTTGGCTAGTGTATTCATGGTGTGGGTTCTTCCCTTTAATCACTTTAAATATATCATGCCATTCCTTTCTGGTTTTCAGAGTTTCTATTGTGAAATCAGTTGATAGCCTGCTGGGAGTTCCCTTGTATGTTGTTTGTTGTTTTTCCCTTGTTGCTTTTAATATTTTATCTCTGTCTTTAATTTTTGTTGGTTTGATTACTATATGTCTTGATGTGTTCCTCCTTGGATTTATCCTTCCTGGGACTCTCTTTGCTTCCTGGTTTTGGTTGACTATTTCCTTTCCCATGTTTGGGAAGTTTCCAGCTATTATCTCTTCAAATATTTTTTTCAGGTCCTTTCTCTTTCTTCTCCTTCTGGAACCCCTATAATGCAAATATTGACGTGTTTAATGTTGTCCCAGAAGTCTCTTAGGTGGTCTTCATTTCTTTTCTTTTTATTCTATATTCCGTTCTGCAGAAGTGATTTCCACCATTCTGTCCTACAGATCATTTATCCATTCTTCTGCCTCAGCTACTCTGCTATTGATTCCTTCTAGTCTATTATTCATCTCTCTTTGTTTGTTATCTTCAGTTACCCAAGGTGTTTGGTAAATATTTCTTGCATCTTCTTTGCCTCTATTCTTTTTCAAGATCCTGCATCATCTTCACTATCATTATTCTGAATTCTTTTTCTGGAAGGTTGCCTATCTCCACTTCATTTAGTTGTTTTTCTGGGATTTTATCTTGACCCTTCGTCTGGGACATACATTTCTGCTTTTTCATCGTGATTAACTTTCTGTTATATGGTTTTTGTTTTAGCCACTGTGAGACTGTTCTTCTT